AAAACTTTCTTTCTCACCTCAAACCTCCCCTGGCACCCATCTCAACTTTTCCAACATCTCTCAATTACTTATTCATTCTTCCTCACTCTTCTGCCACCCAGTGATGGATTGACAGTAATTTTATGGGTCTCCTGGAAAGAAAAAATTATTCCCACTTCATCTCTGATAAAGCTGCATGGCCATATAAACAAGAAGGTGTTAGAAAGGGCCAGGACTCTTACCCTATTAATTTACAACCAGGAACATTTTCTAACACACATAACCAAGGGCAACAGTCACAGCAATGTTGACAAACCAAATTTCAGCCCACTGAAAATATTAATGTTCAATTATGCATACATACATATATAGAGATCATTAAGTTCACATACATAGAACTACACAGAAATTTATATACACACGTGGGTGTGTCTACATAAATATTTATTTATCAGTACAGAGAAACTTAATGATCCCTATCTGTAAATGAGTGTCTGCACACATACATAATGAGCCTACTAAAATAATGCAGGGCTCTGAATCAAGAAGGTTGTTTCTCTTAATATAGGTTTGGAGAGATGTTTAGCATCTCTAGAGATGAAGTGGCAGGGGTAATAATTATGAGTCAGAGTTGGAAGAACATAAAGCCCTTCTCTGGACCCATGAAAACATCTTATCTCTGATTTGAATGGTACAAACTGGTTTGGATATATCACAATTGACTAGAAGGAGGATACAGTGTGATTCCTTTCCCCTGTTGGACAGCCAAGTAACACGCTGTGCCTACAGCTTGTCAGTCCAGAAATGTTAGATCTGACCCATCAGAACATGACATCATTGGAAGATCTACTAGTTAACAGTGAGGGGTGCAGCACAGGACTTAGAAACCTGTAGATTTCTAAGAGGATAGTGCATTCTAGGCATTCATCTGAGAACATGTCTAACTCACCACCCTTATGCATTTGAGTTATTTCCTGGAGGATCCTGTGTGTCCCACAGCTGCTTTCCCAACACCTGCACCAAGCACCGCAATGTGCTTTGGTACAAAGCTCTACACTAAAGGAGCCAAACTGACTCTCTTGTCAGATGAGAGAAGTATCAAAAGCAACAACAAAAGGAACTGCAGAAGGTGATCAGCCAGGACCGGAGGAAGGACAATGGATTTACTTTGGTTAGGCAGCAGTTCAAGGCAGACCAGCTCACAAAGTCTCATGCTATTTCCCTGTGCATCACAAAACCACGTTCTTAACAGAGCCCACCCAGCTTGTAAGGAAATAATTGATTCTTGCAGCATTACAGCCATACAAAATTACAAAATCATAGAATAATTTAGGTTGGAACAGATCTCTGCAAGACATCCTGTCCAACACCCCACTAAAAGCAGCTCCCAATTCAGAGTACTCTTAGATATTCAGAATCATATAAAGCCCCTTTATGCAAATTACTAATGTTACCATACTGACAAGTTTTTTTTAGGACTGCTTAGGATAAGCATACACAGCATAAAGCACAGAGGATTCAAAAAGCCTAGGATACTCATACAATAAAGAAAGACGTGGAAAAAGCTCACTTAACAGCAATGAAGTGCTACAAAATTGTGTGCGAAAAGGGTTGCTGCTTTCTACAGCCCAGAGAGCCTCTCACAGCATGTGGCACAGAATGAAGGTTGGGAAAGCCATTCTATTGATATATTGATTTTAATAAAATAGTATTATGAAAATATTGTTAATAATGCAATATTTTAATAATAGTTGGAGTATAATGACTATGTAATACACATTCCCCTCAGAATATTATGTTTTATAAATAGGTGAACACAGACCACTTCGATGCAAATCTATAGAAGAAATCTCTTCTAACAGGAATCAGCTGAGACCACTAGCTGAATTATTCTGCATTTTCCAGGATGAGAGACAAACTTTTAAAATCCACTAACCAACAGTTTGGCAGTACAGAAATATGACCACAGCCTTGGTCTCTCTGCCTCAGCACTGCTTCAAGTCTAAGCTCCCACTGACCCCATGATCAGTTTGGGATGCAAATCTCAAACTCAGTGCGCTCCTCTCATCAGCTTCTTGAAATCTTTGGGATTTCTACCCACAAACATGAATTTCATGTACCTCCAAACCACCATGTGTAATCTTGGTTCAAGGGGGGCAAGTAGCAATAGAAAGGCACTGATTTCTTCTCAGCCAAAGTTTACACAAGCTCAGCATCTTATAGATGAGCTCACTAAAGTTCTCATTGGGAGAAACAGCTAAGTGTTCTGGATTGAAATGGCTTGCAAACAGCTTTATAAATGGGCTCTTTCCTCCTCAGTTCTTTCCATGCTGTGGATAGAAATTTCTCTAAACATTCCAAGTGTCATGTGAAATTTCTTTGTATGGCTTTTACAGACTATTAAGAATGGTTTTAAAAACTGCTAATGATGACAGTAATAATGAAGACCATAACAATAACAATAGCAATGGCAACAATAATGGTAATACGCCTGCAAAGATTTCAAAAGAAAAAGTTATCAACAAACCTAATACACAATATTTAGGAAGATAACTCATTTCCTACATTCTCCACCAGAAGACTACAGAGATATAAATAACAATAACCTTAGATTTATAATGCATTTTTCATCTCAAAAGAAAACTGCATTGATTTATAAAGTAAATGACCTAAATCCACAGCTAGTTGCAACTGATTAGCTCCATTGATTTCAGTGAAGGTGCAGACGTGCAGATTTATGTGAGTACAGATCTATCTCTCTGCACGTGTGTGTGCACATATCTGCACATGTGTGCAGCTGGAATTGACACACATTGCATGAAGAATTTCACAAAAAAACACCTTATTAAACAGCACAGAAAGTTACATATTATCATTGCATTTGCAGAAAAAATGCAGAGTAAAGAGAATTGCAGGTCCTAATCATTAGCTGGGAATTGGCATATATATTTTTCCAACAGGATGTTCACAGCAGTCTTCTGAAAAGGCTCATAGGTGTATCATATGCTGTTGAGTTTTACTCTGATAAAGCAGGGCAATGTTTGCAGATAGAAAAGCAAGAGATGCATAGATATATTATTCTACAAAACAGGGACACAGCTTTTTGGGGGGGGAAAAAAAAGAAAAAAGAAAAAAAAGCCAAAAGAAAGCCAAGGCATTGTTTTGGAATAAAGGAAAAACGAGCAATGCTACCAGAAGTGACACCACCTCTACTCTGATAAAATCTCAGTAGCTGTCTGTGGCAGACACAAGGCTGACTTGTTTTGCTCCAGCACTGTTTGGGAATAAAGCATAGGAGTGCTGTTGTGTAAAGCATAACCTTAATTATTTAGCCTGTCCCTCCTAACACAGTTTACCACAGGAGACAGGGATACAGGAGTTGGCTATACTTTCCTGAGCACCACCCACCCCCCGCAAGGCTACAGCTTCAAAACACTCCTTCTGCCATGGCATAGATGGCACAGAAGCCAGTTCAAATGACCATTTGTTAGAAGAGTCAAGTATGATTTTCCCACAGCTCCTTTCTTGCAGCAGAGCTCAACTTCAAGTATAGACACACGGTCACTTTGTTTGTGTAAAGCTGACATAGAGCTGGTTTTGAAAGGCACAACAACACAAACCATGCAACTGTTGGAATACATTCAAATCAGTAGCAGGAATGTCTAAGACACACAACTATTACCCTGTCCAAACCTCCCCAGAAACTGATGACACTCAGTTCCTCACTACTGTGACACCAGTAATGAGCTTCACCTATACATTTATGCCATATGAGTATGCAGATGGACTGAAGCCTAGAAGAAAATAAACTTGACATGAATCTCTTTTCTCTTGCAAGCAGTAAAAACAGGCAGGAACTTCAAGTACAGATGCAGAAAAGCAGGAAAAGCAGCTTGACTGCAAGATGAAATTTAGAATCAGTCTCCTGCCACTGAACTGGATTGGTATAACCGTGTCCAATGTGATTAACCAAAGGCACATCTTCATGCCACTGTAGGTATGCTTCACAGCTGTGCCTTAGACAGGCATCTTAGCCACCTTGCCTTCTGATGCTTTTCAGAAAGCTGTTTCAGCCAGTTCAAAGATGCACAGGTAATGCACTTCCAAAACCAGTGAAGGCAGTGCATCTTGTTCTTGCTTTGTTCAGAATCCCAGAGCACAGTGCTTTGATCTGCTTTGTGCAAGAGGTCAGATGACTACTTAAATACACCTTTGAACTTAAAAACTTCCCTTTCCTGGCTGTTAAAATCCAGTTTTAGCCTCTTCTTGGGCCAGCCTTACCCAGTGCTTCAGCACTCCTGGGAGGAAGAAGGTCCCAGCACCATCAGTGCCAGCCCAGGCTCTTCCTTCCATGGGATGGGTGAACCACAGCATATTACACCCCAGAACAGGAAGGTAATTCTGAGCTCAGCTGTGCATATGCACAATTAGAACACTTTTAGCTTAAGCTAAAACTGGATGTACAGCCCACAGTGCGAGCAACAAAGCTGGGGACTATTCGTACCCACCAGGAATCTCAAAAGACAGTCATGTTGCACAACTGGAGCAAGCACAGAACTGGAATGAGGTACAACCATATGGATGTCTGACTTCTGAAGAGCACTGCAGTCCCTGGGCCATCAGGTCCAAGGAATGTAATCTCAGCAGTAATTATGAGGAAGGACCTCTGGCTGTCACTAGAGACAACCTGACCAAGGCTACATCACTCTCCAGAGAAGTATATCTACCTACTGCTCTGTGTGAACTCCCAAGCTACAGCTTGGGACCATCTCTCCTTGCTATAGCCCCTATCACTGCTGGACAGAGCTTGGCTCCATCATCTACTTGCTACATGATGCAAGAACATGTCAGCCAGGCCTGTGGCCACCAGCAAAATCCATAAAACAGCACCATGCCCTCATGAAACACTGCATGTGTAGCTACACAACACTGAACTGCACATCATGAGGTTACCATGCACCTGGGGATCTCCATGCACCCCTTCTGCCATCACAATTTTAAATAGGAGCTGCTATACTTACGTCATTATCTGAGTCTCTATGCCAGGGTCTACAAGGGATCCATCCACAAAAAGTGGTGTTGATGTGAAACTGTATTTAGTCCAGGATCTTCCCTCATCAAAACTCACCCTGGGAGAGAAGCAGACAACATTTATACACATAAAAGGACTTACTCTAGAGCAACTGCAGCAATTAAATATTGGCTAAGGTCTGCAAGCTCCAGCAGCTGGATTTACAGACAAGCACCAATCTTTGCCATTTCCCAGCCCACTAAATTCATGCTCTTGATGTACTTTGAAAGATCAAAGCTTTAGAAAGCATAAACACTGGCAATAAAGACATGGATATACTTTATGCAGCTGTACATCAGGCCTCAAGGGATCAAGAGGCTTTGCCAAGACCTGTTTCTGGGTCTGGAATAGCACCTGGCATGAAGCACCACTCAGAGCATAAGCAACCCTGGCCTGAATGCATGAAAATTGCCTTCACTACCACAGGACATTTTGACCCATCCATGTATCAATGCCATATGGCATTAGCTACAATCTCTCTAGCCCTATGAGTACTTAAAGACAAATTTGGCTTATTTATGGCAGTGAGGAGTGTTGAGTGTGTGTGCACACAGGCACCTGAGCACCTGCATCTGTCTGGCAGGCTCTGGGTGGGCACTGAATCCCCTGTGCTCCAAGCAGGTAGAACACTATCTGACACACCAAAGGACCAGGAGGCCACTGCAGTGTGTATTATAAACCATGGGCTGCACCAACCTCAGATCTCCAGTGTGGAAAGCCAAGACTGGCAGTCACCATTCCCTAACTCTCTGCTCCTCAGGTAAGAAACCTTCACCTGACTCAGAATGCACCTGTGCAAGAATAGGAAGTTAACTTTACACCTAAGACAGAACTCCAGGAGCACAGCAGCACACAGAAAGACTATCTGCCCTAAATCACTTCATTTAAATGTATGTATCTTCCCATACACCTGTGAATTTGTATGCGTTCTGCTTGCATGCTTATCTCTCCAAATAGCATTTCAACTTCAGGGGAACAGCATGCTTCATTAGCTTAGCTAAAGTTCTCTCAGCTTTTCAATTATCCGCCCTTCTTTTCTCCAGCATGAAACTTATTGTACAATGTCTCAGCCTGAGAACTAATAGATTTACATGTACCCTTTAATCTATTCCACTCCTGCCCATAAAACAGGTGCCTACTGAAGCAATATGAAGCAAATTCCAAAGCCCCTAAGGGTACAATTTTGAAGGAAACCTGTTGGAGCTTATTGATAACAGATCTAAATCACTACTCGTTTAATAGAGTGGGTGGGGCACTCATAGATCTGCACACACCATTTTCAGGGGACTTATTGTAAAAGGAGAGCATCTGAAATGAACCTCTACAAAGGTGAACTGAACTGTCAGCTCCTATGAAAAGTCAACCTATGACCAAATCTTTCCCAATCTCTAAGTACAGGCACTTGCAGTAATGTGCTTTTTATGTCCGAAGAGCCTTCACAATTAAAGACACAACTGAAACAGTTACACCTGGCTTGAATAATACAGCACAAATGGTTAATATGTGACTTGCAGCTTTTTCCATGAGGGGCTCACCTTTCACTCTTCCAGAGCTCAACTTGCTGCAGTCTGATGCACCCACTGCTAGCAACACCCACCCTTGGCTAACACACACTTCTTCCTTGACTCATCCTTGGTTTGATCTAAAGGCTGGGACATGGTCCTGATACCCTCTTTCCTGAGAGCACTTTAATTATAGCCATGACAACTGAGTTACCCATCAGAGGCTTCCTGTCACATCTCAACACAGCTGCACCACAGACTGGAGTCTGCAGCTCATCATTACGAGTCTGTTACTGCTCCCCTCTGTATGTCCAGTTATGGGGCCAATACACCCTGAGGTTAACAGTGCACTATCACACCGTGACTAAAACAGTCATTTCTCTAATTCAGGTGGCAAAGAAATGTGCTCAAATGCAATATATTCAAACTTTCATAGAAATCTATGTTGAAATCATCCTAGAGTTATCTGTCAGGTCAAAAATTTAAAGTCCAGAAGCTTTTTATATTGAAAAACTAACTGTTAATGTTCTCAAAGTACATCTCTGGAACATGATCTTGCAAATGGGTTGTCAACCTTTCTTGAGGTGTCCAGACTTGGAATGACTGCAATTTCACTGGAGGATTTTGTACAATAATGACCCAGGTAGAGGAGACCTTAACACCTCATTACTGCTGCCAAACACCATTTTCAGTAAACAGTGTTAGTTCTGAATTTCAGAATGTTTAACTGGTGCAGGAGTCAGAGGGGCAAGAGCTAAGAAGAGGATAATTTTAGAGCAGTATCTTTAGTGCTTAGACTGTTATAACCCATTTATAGCAAAATTGTGTCTTCAGCTGAGAAATCATTTTGCTCTATTTCACCTCCAACTCTAATCAGTTACCACCACAGTATCTCTGTAAATTGATAGTCAAATACTAGAGGGGTTAGCAACATATCTCTGTTGCCTTTATCTACACCTACTGCCCTCTCCTCTCACTCCCTTTATCTGTCTTGCCAGATTAATGTTAAATTCTGTAAACAAAATGTAGAAATGAGAGACAAATCCTCTCAGAAATATCTGAAGCCCAAAGGATGACTTAGTCTATGTGTGTCTGAAAGAAATCACACCTGGAGGCTCATAGTCCCTTACCAGTGCAAAGAGTAATTCATACATGTAGGTGAATGTATGGAGGCATTATATATTTATAAAATGGTGCAATAATCATTATATTAATCAATAAAACCAAAATGGTGGTAGAACAGAGATAAGAATGACTTCATTGCTCTTTTTATGGACACCCTTGCAAAGTAGCAAGTTTCCTCACCACATGTGCCGGATGGGCACTGACGTGTGTTTCATGGCCACTAGTGCCCCCCCCCAGTCCAGAAACCAAACGTTGTATTCCTCCTCGAAGATCTGCAAACAAATGAAAAACTGCATGAGTGCTCCACTCCACTGGGAAGTGAAGAGCCAGAAGAATAGCAAAAGGCTCCGTGCTTTCCTTTGTTGTGCAGAACATACCTGTCTCCAGGAATTGCCACCATCAGAAGAGATGAACACGCCAACTTCTGTGTAGGAAAGTTCAGAGCCAATATTGCCTGCAACACAAGTGTCAGACATTCTTCTATGGATGAACACTCTAATGAAAATGTTAATTAAAGTTCTGACATTTAATGCTGGAAAATTAGAAATTTAAATAGGTTAACACTCTCCTGTTACCATCACAGAATTCAACTAACCACATTATTGTGTCAATGCTATTTCAAAGAAGTTCAGTCTCTGGGAGGCAGTGCAGCTCAAGAAGGGTGTTTTCATCAGTGCTAAGGATATAGGAAATGTCATACTGTCCATCTACCTAATTTTCTCCCTGATACCAGGAAGAATCACCAACTGTTTTAGATGTGGCTGTAAGGAAAACCTGATGTGGGCAACCATACAGAAGGTCAGCCTATAGGGACATCCAGGTTCAAGAGCATAAATCTACTGTTTCAGTTCAAAGATCTTCTTAGTCCAGTATCTTACTATAAGTAGAAGTCCTCAAGAATTAGATGCTGATTTAAAGGTAGCAGGTAGTTGTATCACCATATTTTAAACACCAAAATGGAAATTCTGAATTTTCAAACAGGGATTTACAGATGAAGGCAAGGAAAGGGAGTAAAAATGCAGGAATTTTGTTGTTATCGCTTTTTTCTGTCTTTTTGTGCAAAGCTGTTCTATTATTTCCTTCATTCTCCTCCTCTAGTTCAGCTTCAAGCATTCAAACCTCACAAAATGTAACTCCCGAACAAGTCAAGAGGATTTAGCAGCTGTACAATTAGATAATAAAATATAGTTCTTCCATTTGCAGGAATCTAACCTCTGTCCTTACCAAGTGTCTGAGTTTCCAGTCATTGCTGGAAATGTCTCACTGTAAATGAAGTGTTTGAGCAGCCAACACTTGTGAGAAAAAATTGCATAGCTTATCCTTGAATGCATTCAGCAACATGGTGAGATGCTCCTGCTGTTGTGAAACTGGTTAGTGGAAACAGATGTGTATATTCCCAACAGGTAAGGTTTTTACATCTACAAAGCAGTAAGGCAGAAATTATATTCTGCCTTTTAAAGGTTAATTGTTAGACTGGGAAAGCATTCATCCTGTGCACTGGCAACTTGAAAAGAACCTAATTTACTAACAATTTAGATCAATGCCTAGAATCTCACTGTCCTGCTGCCTCTATTTGCTTCCTAAAAAGGTTAAAAAAAAAAAGCTTTTGTAATTACAGCATCATGAGTAGGGCTTGTTCCTAAGCATCCATCTAGCAAGTGCAACCTGCCAGGAGTGATGACTCCACTTGGCTATGCATGGGGATATCTGGAGGTTTAAACCATATTATCTCACTTCATTTGGCCTGGATCACTGAACTGGAAATCACATGGTGTCTCCCTTGTTGAGATATAAATGTCATGAAGGGAACCCATCTCGGGTTCTGCCTTAGTCTGGCAAACACACTGAAGCACAGCACACTGAAGCACAGAATGACATGAGGATGAAAATGGTTGGAAGAAATAGTGTAAATTCATGCAGACAATATGCTAACATCCCACACTTGCGGGCCACTGCTATGCTGAACAGGACCAAGGAGACAAAGTGAGCCTTAGAAAGAACAGTTAAGCTATTTGGACATATTTGAGTGTATGCAAGAGGCTCCATTTGAACAGACAGAACTGCCTCCATGGCTGAGGCCAGCTTTTAATAGCACCAGCCATTCAGGAAGCACTTTGTTAGCCCAGCAGCTCCCACAGAGCTGAGGGTGGCTGGTAGCCCCATCCATCCTGCAGATTAATTACAGTGGCTCAGCCACTGCCACCATGAAGTATTGTAGCAGGCTGTCATTTAAACAACACAAAAGCACTGTATTGCAGAACAGCCCACAATACCAACGGCCCGTGCAGTTTTGATTAAATGCTGCTAGCCTTGCAGCAGTACAGAGTTAAAAGTAGGTGCCACGCACAAGACAGGCACCCATGGAGCCCAGGCTTCACATGACAGACTTGGTGACAACTCTTCTCTTGCCACTCAAAAGGTGGGACATATTGACACCTCCTAGGAGCACAGCCCCTGGGCACCATTCTCCTTCTGCAGCGAACAGGTAGACATGTCCATCAGTGGCTGTAACAACATGAGAGGACCTAGTAGTGCCACTGAGTAATAGTACCTTGAAAGTGTGGGCTTAGACCAGCAAATGGGTTATTGCAGAGCAACAGATACCTGACACCTTTTTTGAACTTGAGGCCATATGGCTTCTCCTCACCCATAGCAAATGGGACTTAACGTGAATTAGCTCAGCACTTGCTGAAACAGAGTTCAAAGGTTTTACACCAATGGGGAATACCTCATATACTCTCGGGCTCCCAGGGAGGTATGGGTGAGTGGTGAGAAGCATTTATGTTCTTACCTGTTGCCACCAGCAGCCCAGGAGCCGTGTCTTTGCTGGAAATGCTCCCTGAAGTATACGGATTCTCTGAGAGCTGCAGGCGCAAGTGCAGTGAGCAAAAGGGCTGTTGACAGAAAACAAACAAAAGGCAGAAGCTTTAATATTCAGCAAGTTAAATATCAGAGGGGAACCCTTGGTGACTGCACACAAATGCTCTGATCCTTCTGAAAATGACCCCTCTGCTCTTAGCATACATAGGTCATATGTTCCTTTGATGGATAAGCAGGAACTCTGCACCAGAAACAAGCATGTCAGCATGTCTGCCCTTGTTTTGACAACAATCTTAGAGCACTTTCCCCAGAAACTTTCTTATTCTGACTTTAATTCTATTAAATACATCAAGAAAGATAGTCAGAATTTTCCCTTAAAATCTGCAAAGCTATAGATAAATTTACTGAATTCATTTAACACACATAAGGTCAAGACAAAAAACACAGGAAGAGCTTTGTTAATTAGTGACTACAATAAGCAGCTCTGAAGGAGTCAATTGTGCCTTAGAAAAGATCTGCCACTCACCAGCTGGCAAAGTACAGGATCCCCTCTTAGATCAGTGTCCGGTGCCTGTAGCAAACGCCAGTCTCTGCCCTTGTTGTAGGTAATGAAAGTCTTGATCTGGTCATCTACCTTCCTGTTAGCCAGGAATATGCCTTTGATCCCTGCTACCTAGGAAAAAGGGAGAGAGGTGAAAAAAATACATCGGAAGAACAGGCCAAAAGCAATGTCCATCTGAGCACTCTCAGGAGTGGAAGGTCTCTGTAAAAGCAATAAAGGCACCTCAATCTAATCTTAGAACACCAAATGGCACTAAAGGTTTATCTTGGTGATGGTTGCAAAGATGAAAGGTCTTGTGTGGTTTCTCTCTTTGGAAGAAAAAGACAAGGATGGCCACAGAACAAATCCCTGGGAAACAGCCTACTTTAGGATTTCATGGAGTTCTTGCAGATAGGTTGATGATGGGCTTGAAGGTACAGCATACACCAGGTCTTACTTGAGCTCTGTGAGCATGAGGATGGGGTCAGCCCCACTGCCTCCACAGATTGTCAAAACAGGGGAAAACAGAAGATCACATCAGAAGCAGTGTGGGATCCTTTTGTGTACCAGAAAAAAAAAAAAAATCAGCATAAAAGATGTGAATCCTGAGCATGATGTGACATTAATGTTTTGAAAACTTGATTTCTTCACTTTCCTTCCACATCCAAATTCTGACAAATCAAGCCAGTTGTTTCAAATATTATGATTTTTGTCAGCAGAACCTCTTGCAGCAGAATATGGTCCTGTCAAAACATCCCCAAGAAGATTTCATGTTGAGTCTGGTCTCTGTTGCACAGCTGTGAAAGTGAGACAGGAAGAAGAAATTTGCTGCAAATCTGCAACTTCCTGGGAACTGTCAGGATGCAAATCCTCCTACTCTGAAGCCCCTGGAGTGATATTACTCTTTAAATGACTGTAAAAATCTATTCACATTTAATAGTGAAAAGTCTATGATATACAACTGGGGAGTAAACAGGCTTGCCCAGGAATGTGAGACAATGCAGGTTAATTTTTGCTGGTTCATCACAGCAAAGAAATATACTTTTTCAGAGGCAGGAAGGTAAATTTCACCAGGTGAAAAAAAACCCCATAAACCCTGTCCTTTATACTAATCAATGTGCTATTTGTGAATTTTCCCTCATTGACCTCAACAACCTGGATTTTTATAAACAAATTGATTATGTTGTTAAATGAGTATTGTTCTGGCTGAAATAAAAAAAAAGAAGAAAGTATATTCCTAACTTCTGCATGCAGCTGCAAGAACATTTCTCCGTGTAACAGTAGAACTCAACTTGCAGCCATTTCTATTAGCATTACTGATTAATTTGCTGATTAATGCTGCTGGCAAAGCACTGAGCCCTGGATCTCAACAGATCTTCCATCCAACAAGTAATGACACACCAAAAACAGAATGCTCTGAAGAAACCAGGAACTGGAACTGCTCTGAATGCACTGCTGTTGGCCAAGGCTGACAGGCCTGGATAAAGCATGAGAGTGTTTGGGGAAGTTCAGGGTAGAAGTTCTTCATCTGTCATCTCTGGGCAAGAGGGACCTACAAATTTTTGGTTATAGTTCACGAACTGTTCAGTGCTCTTGCAGGTGCAGTCCAGATTACCTGCCTGAGAGCAGATGTCTCTAGATAACCAAGAGGAAAAAAAAGGTGTATTTAGTCTTTCTATGGATATCCACATTAGGATGAGAAGGATAATGGTTTTCCCTTTTGGAAATGATACATTGCTAACCAGTCATTGACTTGAACCCAACCAGGCATTGCACCTATAGCAGAATAACTGCATCTATTCCCACATGAGTCAGCTCAGCATCAAATCCAGGAAATGCCTCAGGGCTTATCCCAAAACAAATGAAAATCCTGGGAGGTTGGTAAGAGATTTACACTTGCTCAAACTAGCAGGCTGTTGCTGCTCTTTGTAGGGCGACCTTTACTACATACCTCATAAAGGTCAATGACGATATTCCCCTCGAGCCCGCGGCTGCTCTTGACGTTTTCCAAGGCCAGGGTGAAGTAGACCCCTCGGGTGTCCGAGATGTACAGGTTATAGGTATCATTCTGGTTCCACTCTTGAACAGCTGCAAAGACCTGATTCTCATCTGTGCTGATAATGTGCATGTCCTGTTAAAAGAAGACAAAAGGCCTGTTACTGAGGATCTCTGTATTTCTTTGCCCTTCGGGACATGTAGTAATTACCATGAATTATGAAAGAATGGAGATGGAGCATGAATTATAGGTATGTTTAACAACTTTCTGTTAGAGCAAGCCAATAAATTACCAGCATTGTGACTTTTCTGCATTTCACTTTTAAAATAATCACCAGCTGGGCGAAAGGTTTTTGCTTTCTTCATTTTTGGTACCTTCAAGGAATTTCATCCAGTTTCATTTTTTATTTATAAATTTGAAAGTCAGTTTTATTACTCATGGAAGATTCACAGCCTTGGAGCCTGGAGTCTTCATAGTCTCTAAGCATCATATGGCACCAGGCTAAAAGCAGTGATAATTTTCATTCATGAAATAATGGGCTTGTGCTTCCAACTGGCAAGGGATGGTTTCAAAAAACCTTGGGAGTTCGCATTTATTTGAAGGTGAAGTATAGGTATCAGTTTGAGCTACTGCTGATAGTGATTTTTAATAACACATTTTCCTATTGAGTTTATCTGAGCTCAACTATCCCACAATATATGGGCTGTCAAATAACCCACCCACTCACCTTCATTGGATTCCTGCTGCTGACCAAGATACAAAAAGTCTAGAAAGGGTTTCCCCATTTAGTTTTAATATCAAAAAGATTTGACAGTGCATTTTCTCAGTATTATTTTAAAACAGGTTCATGGAAATTACTTTCAGGGTGATGATGAACATAGAAGCACTTCATCCTTGCTACCATTGTTGAACAAACTGACACAGGTTCAGCTAGAAGCCAAATGACTGTGGTTATATGAGACTCCATTTATCTATTTGTATCTATTTAAACTTTCTATAGAGTGCCAAGAGGCCTTGATTAATTCCTTGCACTTTTTCTGAATCAAGAAATCATAATTCTGGAAGTCTCCCAAAGGATGGAGTGACCTGATTTCAGGAAAAAATATCTGGAGGAAAATCAGTTCAATATCCTCATCCTGCCTAGGAGGCATCTTAATCTTCTGTGTGAGGTATCTAGATGAAAAGCTGGGATTGATTAAACGGGGCTATTTCTAATAGACCTAACATATCCTATCGGCATGAGATGGGGAGAAAAAACATTTGAGGGCCTAATTCTGTCCCAGTGAGTACAGTCAGTGGGAGATTTGCCATTTCCCTCAATGAAGGAAGACTGAATCAGGAAGTTTGTTCTTGCCCAGTAGCTGTAATTCCTTAAAGATTAAGGAGGTATTATACCTATTCCAACAGTGTGAAAATAAAGCAAAATGCCCAATGACTTCAATCTGTTTTTACCAGCTGCAGTGGAAATATTGCATTACCCTGGTGCCAACCTCACATACGTACAACTCCAGCAGAGTTCATTAATCTGCACATGACAGATAGTTATTACTGTACAGCAAAAATATTCTAGTGACTAAGGGCAGCATAAACAAGCCTCCTTTACGTGGCTCAAAGACTTTTCCACGACACCTAGCCTTAAAGTACTTCTGATTTTCAAATTACAAAAGTACCCTTGATTTTATAGGATGCACCAATTCTGTATCAGAGCCACCAACAAATCTGTATTTTAACAGGTCATTTTCCTAGTCCTGGTGGTAATAATGTTTTTGATACAAAGATACCATCTGCCTTCTTAGCCACCTCAGGAACTACCGGCTCATGCTTGGCTGCTGTCAACCAACACCCCCAGGTCCTTTTCCACTAAGCCGCTTTCCAGCCACTCTGTCCCCAGCCTGTAGCACTGTGTGGGGTTGTTGTGATCCAAGTGAAGGACCTGGCACTCCCCCTTATGGAACCTCACATATTTGGCTTCCCAAGACATTACATGTCTATGCTCACAAATGGGGGACTCACCTTAGGCAGGGAGTATTTGGGTAATTTAATCTGTGCAAAAGGCTCCCGTCTGTATGACACATAGTAAGTTGCTCTTCCACCAGTTGTCACCTGTGGAAATACCAAAGAAAATGAGTGATGACCCTTCTGAGACATTCTGTGATGACATCTCTAAACTTTACTTCAGGTATGTTTTCTATGACAGGCACAGCTGTCCTTAAAGGCATCTGGGTAACTCCAAAGAAATCACAAACTTGACAGGGATAGAGATTTACTCATTTAAGTCGTGCTATTGAACTTTCCATTTTGCCTCTTATGATTCAAATCCAGTATGATTTTACCATCTCAGGGAAAAAAAGTGCTGAGTGGGAGGAAAAGAAGGATCTGGTTTCATCACATGGTCCAGTTCAATTACCTTGGGCAAGTAACTTAAAGTCTCTGTGCTTCTGTTCTTCCCCTGTAAGCAGGAGATAATCCCTCTTTCCTCAGCTGCTTCTCAGCCTTGTCTGCACTGTAAGTCCCTTGAGGCCAGGATTGTCTTCCAACAACCTTTTACAGCGACTAACAGCAGAGATCCACACTAGCACCATTTAATGCTAACTGTAAATGCGCTCTTGGAAAGCTGGAGCTAAGCTCTTAGATGCCCTTTGTCACTCGGTTTGAAACTGGTTCCTCTGAAATGAAACACTCTGAAAATGAATGTGCGTGGGGGGAACTGTAGCGACAGACAGACATCCAAACCTGCAGTTTTATGGACTGAATGAACTAAAGCCTATGCAAAAATGCCATGCATCAATGAGCTCTAGCACAGATAATTTGTAAAATATGGGATCTAAAACCTGTCAAGAGTCACTTACTCTTGCTGTAGGTGTTCTTTCTGGCACTATCTCAGACCTGGCTGAAACAAGGCTTACATCAGTGAATTTCCTACATTCTGCTGGTTTGGCAGTCTTGCAGGTCTTAAGATAAAACAATACACAAAGCACTTGTCTATTGTATGGAATATCTCTTGTTGGCTTCTTAAGTTTCCAATAAAGCTAAGAGAAAAGTCCTAGATTCCCTCCTAGATATACTTCCTTTATCTGACAGTGATATTTGAGAATGAGCTTACATAGAATATTGCTACAGCATCAATTGTATTCTCAGCAATGATATCACCTCTAGATAGCAGCTTTCTTCCCAGGAGAAGCTGTCATTCGAAGGACACACTATTATTGGTCATGAAATTTGATATCTAATCAACTCAAGGCTTTTCCAGTGACAGTTTGAAAAACTGTAAATAAAGGAAGTTTTAGACATAGGACCAGCTTCTACACTAAGACTTCCCCTTCAGATTTTTTCCCATTTTTATTTGTAATGTCATCATAACTGTATTTAGCACCCTCAAGAGAAAAGAAAAGAATATCCACTATTACAGCACACACGGCGTAAGGTCATAAGAATGACCTATATCACAGCAAATAAACTCTCCACAGATAACATGTAGCTAAAACCAAGGGTAAACACAAACATGAAAATCTAAAGTAACTGGTCTACAGACCCAGAACAAGCCAGTAGGAGAGACAGGCAGAAAAGAAAACAGCAGTCACTGCACCCTCAATTCATGGAAAGCGCGTCGTGGACTGGCACAGCAGTGAGCATTTCAGGGCCCTGCTCTGAGCTGTGAGGATCACAGAATCACACAATGGTCTGGGCTGGGACCTCAAAGATCATCCACTTCTTGTATCTAATCTAACTCTACTCTTTTTCAGTTCAAAGCCGTTCCTCCTTGTCCTGACACTCCATGCTCTTGACAAAGTCCCTCTCCAGCTCTCTTAAAGCCACTTTAGGTACTGGAAGGTGCCCTAATGTGTCCCCACATCCTTCTCTTCTGCAGGCTGAATAAGGTCAGTGAGTGCTACTTCTGAAAGATATATTTCCCACCAAATACTTCCACATCAAAATAAAATTTTCACAGGAGAGAACAGACTGTGCAGTTGATTTATACTGAGTCCAGCTCAAAGGCAAAAATTCATGTTTGCAGTAATTTTATCTCTCTCAGCTCTACAAGCATTGCTCAAAGGATGCCACACTTCTAGGTCATATTGTCTAAATAGCACAGGGAATATGTAAATATCCCCTCTTCTCTTTTAATATTTATTGCCTCCATTGGAAAACCCAAATTCTCAATTCTCACATGAACTGAACATGTTCAGTGACTAACTTGGTAGGGACCCTGTGTTAATATATGAATATTTACATACTTTGTAAATGCTGTGATGACCAGTTAAGATTGGGAATAGTCCAACAATCTTCCAGATAATCCAGTGAATACAGAATGGCAAAAATATCAAGGGGTGGTCAAACTCTACTTCCTGTGCCACAACAGGATCTACCACAAGTCTGCCACACTCAAAAGGTTTTACACCAGTTTTTTGTCTTTAGCCCACTGAAAACTGGTACCTGGAGGGGGTTTGTTTGTATTTATTGTTTGTCTGTTTTCTAAATGCAGAAAATTAGGATTAAAATGCTGTTAAAGTTCAGTATACAATAGTTAAACTCTCTCTAAGGCTTCCACCTGAACTAGGTCACCTTGACAAGGGTTTAGAAATAGAAATCTTTGAGGTTTGTGGTCTTCCTGAGCCAGTTAATATGAAACCACCCACAAGTCTGTTGGCAGGAGTTATGTAAGCTTTTCCCAGCCAGGATCTCATCTTTGCATGATTTACATGCACAGTTATAACAGTTCCAAAAAAATGATCAAGCCTCCAATAAAGTTTTGGCAAGCACCGTGGTACAGAATGAATTTTGGAAAGCCCAACTCAATTTATTTTGATGAACTTTTCCTTTTCCTATGAGCAAATGCTCCAACACTGTAAATCCTAGAGATTATGGCAGCATTTTGCCCTCCAATGCCTCCTTTTAGTTCACATTTGATGAATGCCACCCAATTATTTGCTGTGAGCTCATCTGTCATGCTCAGTACAGAATTAGCTGGGTTTGTCTTTTTCCTCCTCCATCGCTAATGACTGGATCATTAATCTGTTTTTCTAGATTTCTACATTATGTGTTTAATTGGGCTCCTGGCCAGTGGAAATGATTCCTATAGACAAATGTGTTTGTCATTAAACACATCTGTCTTACCCAACCTGTGTTCTTTCCTCCTCCCTCCACTCGTGAGCTACTCCTTTTCTTTAATATTTCCACATTCAAGTCACAAGTCTCATCTTACTTATATCAGCTGGCACTTAAGAAGAGAAACATGAGAAATTTCTCTTTGAAATCCCTGAGAGTCTGGATATGTTGGCTCATTTCCCCTCCTGACCCGTAATGAGACAGAGTGCATCAAACATAGAAGAAAACAAATATGTTCACAAGACTGCAGAAAATTACATAAAATTTGTCATGGAATCTACTGATCTCCATAATTCCTGTGACATGTCTGGGAATGCAGAAAGCCATTTTTTATGTTTATGATTGAATATAATTATTTAAGAGCAAGCTTTGTGGCTTTGCTTTTTTTTTTTTCAGATTGAAGTTCACCTGAGGCAAAAACACCTGTGCCATCTAAAAGAGTTTGGAAGGCAAGTAGAATGAGTTAAGAGGTCCCAGACTACAAAGAAGCCTTAGATGATGTGAGGAACTGTAGATCACTGTGTATCAGGCTTCTTTATCATCTTCCTGGCTGGCTTATGCTGGGACTCATAATTTCCAGTGTAAGGCAGATATTGATGGAACAAACACGAAATTACTAAATCTCAGAAATTCCCCTGGGCTAAGGAGGACCCCATCTGCCTCCTGATGCTCAAAGATCTTGCAGGAAAGTGAGCAAAAAGCTCACAGAACCAAATTTTACATTTCTTGTTGACAGTAAGTTTCTAATAGTATATAGTTGAGGTTATTTTCAACGAACACCTCACTCATTTTCCAAGGTGATTGCTCTGCTTGTAGAGTTCCCCTCCTTACAGTAACACCAAATGAGCTGGAGGAGTCAAAAGTTCAGAAACACTCTATCAATGTTGTAGCAGCAACCTGGATCTGTGTTCTCCAACTCCATAGGGAGCCCTGGCATCCCTCCCCATTGCTTTAAATTTAGGTTCCCCTTCTTCTTCTTGTGAGCATAAAATTGCCCAAATTAAATTGTGGATTAAAGCACAGAAGAGTCATGAAAGTTCAGCAGGCAGGCTGCCCCACTGACACCCTTACCAAGGGATTTTGGGGTTCTTCAGAGACAGCCCTGCCTAGGCCTTGCACAGGTTTGTAAGAGGATTGAAAAGTTGTGGCTCCTCTCCCAAAGCCTAACCACAATTCCAGTCACAAGAGTTTCAGAAGATGAGGAAGAACATGAACCTAATGTAATGTTCTTCCCTCTTGATTACTGGCCGTGACCAGGAAAAGCAATCTTCCATATATTTCTGTGTAGTGAGGTTCTCCACTGCCCCAGCATATAGCCCACCATGATAGGTACCATCCAGACTGAATTATCTCTCTGTGGTTTTCATTACTATCATGCCTTCTGCAGGGCCATTGAACTATATACAGTTACCTGAGTGTGGAGTTTCTGTGCATGAAAAAGTTGCCTGGTAAATTCAGCAGGCTTGGAAAACATGACACTCTTTACAGCATCACACCCCTCAGCGAAAATTTGCTATGACAAAGGAGCATTTATTATACTGGCCCAGTCCCTGTTCAGCTCCCTCTCTCCTCAGCACAAAGATGACACAGCTAAAGCACAGAGTAATCTTGAGATAAAGTATTGCATTTGTTTTAAAAGCAAATCCTGCAGAAAATGTGCAGTTACACCAAAACACAAGCCACATCAGAGCTGCAGGTGCACATTACCCACACAGAAGTCAACTTATGAGAAGAGCATAATTGTACACATTAAATCTTCTTTTGATTTCAGAGGAAACATATGAGTTTGCCAAGGCAATACTTTACATCTTCAGCTGATCAATCAGACAACGTGAGGGGAGGGGAGAGGGTGATGAAAGAAAGCACAGCACAAAAAGCCCTGGAAAGAAAATCAATAAAAAATTAAATAAAAAAATGAAAATGTTAATAATTTTTTTATCAAGAGATGTTTAGGCTCAAGTTCCAAATGTGATATTTGGCACAGAAAAGATGAAACT